ACCAGCTGTCTTCCACGAAGCAGTTCATTATTCTTCACATAGTGAAGAACGGCCGCATTCTCCCCTGACCCTGCGATGGTCTCATATGCTTGGTTCTTCGCTCCATGGGAGATGCACGTATCCAGGAAAAGACCTTCGATCTCAGCCTCTGTCGACATTCGGAGAATATTTTCGAGCACCTTGCGGTGAGCTAAAGCAGATACTCTGTTCGCTTCACGAATCATCCGAATCTCATGCTCATCCTTGATGCCCCGGGCTGCATCCATGGCGGGTAACAGCGATTCGTCATCTAAGCGAAGTTCGGTTGTTGACAACACCTGGGGCTTCTGGGTATCATGGAGTATATATAACAAACTCGTCTTGTTGTAGTTATCCACCCATCGCTGGATGTCACCCTTGAGAGACGCATAGTACCGCACCTGATCGACATCGTACCGTTCCTGAGCTTCTTTCACTGTCAAAGTCGGGCCCATCCATATGGCCCTGTGCAAGTCGAAATCGGGCACATAGAGCGTCAGGAGGTCGTTTTTGACATCATATGTCAGATAGCAGTCTGCCTCATCCACTCCGCTAAGGTAGTAGAAGTATCGTCTTTGTCGGAACGGACGCGGCTGATCTGAATCTCCCCAATTGATTGTAGGCTGACCAACAAGGTAAATCAGACCAGCCGAGACACCAAGCTTCGCAGCCACTCTGCGAGCATGTTGTTTTGCTGCGCCGCGGGGCCGTTAGCCTCGCGTTTTAGGTTTTGGACTGGGGCAGATCCAAGCGCTGAGAAACACTCTCTGAAGGGGTAGAGAGCGGGATGGAATCTAGGAGATTCAGCACCCTACTAACCTGGATATTTATCGCAGTCATTGCTGGTCAGCGTAATGCGGATATCAAGGGCATCGACAGCACTGATAACGATATCTGACCGCCCTTGGCCACGCATCTTCTCAATAGCTAACAGAACGACGAAAGGGAGCAAAAGGTGTCCAATGGAAGTATTTGAGGCCGCCAAAAGCAGGAAGGTAAGGAGCCGCGACGATCAAGGGCTAGCATCGGGGATGCAATGAAGGAGACTCTCACTTGGGCATGAGATATCTGTCCATCAATAGTGCCACCGCTATCTTAACGCCGTCATTGACGTAGGAGGTATTTGTACTTACCGTAAGTTACCGCTCAAAGGCGTACGACAGGCAGCCACAATCCATCCCTGCTTAGAGGACCCTGCATTTTTCAACTCAAAGACAATGGCAATTCAAGCTGAAACTATAGCATGAAGAGACTATTTGCAGGGTTCAAACGTTATTTGAACAAGAATTAGTGTAGGAGAAAGCGATCTTGGCTGATTTGTTGCATATGCGCTGAATGCAAATGCTCTCCCCGGAAGCGGCATTCTGTTGATCGTCTGGCCTTGTTCGTAACTTACATACAGAGAGCAAATGACGCCCCAGCTGGGCGCTCACTATCCTCTCTACTTCGAGTTGGACTTCCATTTCTCTTCCAACTTTTCTCCATCATTTCCTTGGTCTTGTCCCATCTTCTCTTTCGCACGTTTTGCGTGTCTATTCATCTTTTGTAATTAATTCTGTTCTCCTTATCTGAACATCATAAGAATCAAAGTCAGTCGACTCTGCCCCGACGGTCAATGAACGATGCGGGGATCTGAGGCATCGGGGCCTGGTGCTATCTTTGGTGCTCCCTCGACTCTCACCACCTCCGTGATAAGGAACCCAACGTCGTTCCCATCCAGCTCGGCTCCTCTCCCGTCCACAGACCTAGATGTGGTCGCCCAAAATGTCGAACATGTTTTGTTGTCATTAACGTCGCAGAGTGATGGCGGCCTGGTTGGCGTCAGTGGCAATTCCGGGTCGACCGGCAAGGGTATCTTGATCGGCGTCCTGTCTGCTTTTGGCTCTGCGATTGTTGCTGTCCTCATTCTCGCTATCTTTTTCTTCTTCAAGTACACCCGCCGTGGCCGGATTTTCCTTGATCGTATTGGGCGACCAGGTGAATTTGATGATGAGCAGGCGTTTGCGCGAGAGGAGGCGGAGGCCTTGGAGGTCATGGATGACATGTCGCGATCGGAATACATGAGAGCGAAGTGTGAGTTTATGCGAGATCGACCGCGCTATGTATTAATGCTAATTGTGATGGTTGCCAGCGTTCGTGGAGGCCAATCCGCCCGAGTCGATGCAGACCGACATTTCGTTATCTCAGTTTCTTGCGATACAGGAAAAGGGTGTGTCGGCATGGGAATTTCAACCAGAGTTGGAAATTGCCAATTGTTTTGTTGAAGGCCGAACGGAAATCGAGTTCTATGATTCGGCATGTAGTGTGCAGACCAACTTGCCTGTTCCCAAGCAGAATGATGTCTATTACTGGGAAGCGAAGATCTACGAGAAGCCAGAAAGCACTCTCATCAGCATCGGCATGACCACAAAACCATATCCGTTATTTCGACTCCCAGGTATGTCAATGTCCGAATATCCATCGCTGATTCTCCCACAATCCTGTTGCTAACACATTTCGTCCCTTGTCAGGCTTCCACAAAACTTCTGTTGCCTACTTATCAACAGGTCACCGCCGATATAACCAGCCATTCTCGGCGACGCCCTATGGTCCTCCTTTAGCACAAGGCGATGTGCTTGGCGTAGGGTACCGCCCACGGTCCGGCACAATATTCTTCACTCGCAACGGCAAGAAATTAGAGGATGTGGTCCATGGGGCTAAGACGCAGAATTTCTTCCCTACTGTCGGTGCCAATGGTCCTTGCACCGTGCATGTGAACTTTGGCCAGATGGGATTTGTTTTCATCGAAGCCAACGTCAAAAAGTGGGGTCTGGCTCCCATGACAGGCAGCCTGGCTCCTCCGCCGCCATACGGAAGTGAGCAGGGCAGCATCCTTCTTGAGTCCGGTCGCGAGAGCGCTGCTCAGATCTCTCAGCGGGTCTATCAGGACGCAAGGATAAACTCGACCGTCAGGATCCCACCCTCTCGTAGCCCAGGCCCGGTCCGATCACCCACTGATATTTCCCTCGCTCCACTTGCGCATATTCCCTCTCATGAAGACGTCGGTGAAGGGTCGAGTCATGCTAACACCATTGCTGACGAACAAACTCCCTTATTGAACACAAGCGATCTTGATCAGGTTCCGCCTCCGGAGTACACGAGCCCGGACGGCAGTCGAAGAGGTAGTGACATTACACGGGACCTGCCAAATCAGGACTCCCCGCCGATACCGAGCTACGACGCCGCTGTGGGCGATCAAGCTGACAATGCCTCGAGGTCGGACGTCGATTACTGATTGCGTTACTATCTATCGTTTGCCTAGCCTGATTCATCATTCCCTTTTCTCGAGAAACGCTCTGTCTGTTTACCCTCATATTATGTGTATACCTCCTAGCCATCTGTCTTACTGTCAAATTTTAGCGGGCCCGGTCTGGCGTTTCAATGGGCGGATCATTCTATGACTGGATTTCAATGGGTTATGCCACCGTGCTTTGCTGTGGCAATGATATGATGTTATGTGTATAGGGATTGGAAATACTTTCGTTCTCTATTTATAGTTCGCGCTTCGCTTCCAAATAAGTCACACGGTCAGCAGAAGGACTTGGCTGTAAGTTCTCCATCTATGCCGGAGCTGAATGGAACCAGTAAGCTTTCGTATGTCCTTGAAAACATCTCACATAGCTGCAATTAGCCATGCGTCAAACTGGCTTCTATCTCAGCGACATGCAAAACGCGGACATATAAGACACAGCGATGCTTGAGAAGCTGCTCTATATCGTTTAACTTGCTTTGATCCCTTGTTCTAGGTGTGCACTCGAATTCGCTGGTAAATTTCCTCTCGGCCATCCACCGATCATCTCGAGTTTCTGGACTGTCTAACCCCAGGTGGCTATTCCCGAAGTGAAGCGGATAACCCTCGGTCAAGTCCCATACGTTTCCAAGCTATTCAAGCAGCTGTTCTCCCAATAAGCCCCAATTAACAATGTCCCTCCAACTGCGTCTCCCTTGACGAGAATACTGCGCAACGGTAATTGATCGAAGCAAAGCACGTTTCTTCAAGCCGCTAGAATGACATCTACTAAGAATAGAGATTAGGAAGAATCAAAACGTCCAGGTCTCCAGCTTTTCAGTCTGTTCCCTCCTGATACGATCACGCCTTCACGCCCTCTCGTGAGGTTAAGTCATGAGTTCGCGGGCTTCTCCAATTGTGAGAGGATATGGTTCAGGGTAATCCAGAACCATGTCCTGCAGCTCTACTGGGAGCCCCTTTTGGGCCAGAACATCTCTTCGGATATTGAAGCAATTCCACCAGTCCGCCTGCTGGGGTGGGACGTTGGCGGTCGAGATGATACGGACATAAGGGTCGACTACATGCAACACCAGTGACTTGCAATGACCCGGTTTACTCGGATCGACGAGATGAACGGGAGCGACGCTGGGTTGGAAAGCGTTTGGGAAGGTCACAAGACGGCCCTCGTGGCAGGAGACTTGGCCCAGGTCCACAATCTGTTTTTCTTTCTCATTGCACCCGAAGACCAGAGCTCACCAGGGGAGACCAAATCCCTTGTCGAAGTGACTCCCGTGGAGCTAGTCCAGCGACAGTATCTGGCGGAAAGAGATCATCGGAGCGGTGATATTTTCGCAGGAATAGTTGTCTATGGCCGTTGCGCAAACATGCTCATTCTGAGGTTTTCTGTCAGCATGGGATGTTCTTGCTTTGTACAAGATATGCAGCCTGTCACAGGGCAGATGGCAAAGAGAAAACTTGAGGGAATAAGTCTTACCAATAGGCTCTGGAAATGCCAGCCAGTCCCAGTGTATCCTGGCGTCTCAGGTGTCAACTCGGTGTTGGCCAGTTTCACAATGACCTGCAATCCTCTGTGACGGAAAGTAGTTTGAAGATCAATAAGGGCCTCACTTCCCAGTCGGTCTAGCCAGAGACTAAGGGACCAGGTCTCTGGAGGCTTAACAGGACGAGACTTCTCTTATTCCCAGAGACGGTCCTAAATATCCTCAAAATCACTCGGACTTCCAAGCTCCAGGACTTCACCCAGGGAGTTGGTGCTCGGCAGGTATTCGATCCGCTCAAATTTGATCCTATTTCGGCGATTTAGTCGCTCGGTTCTCAAAGGTGTTAAACTCATATTCCAAAGAGGACTGACGCTTGCGATGATCCGTTCGAGTGTATCGTAAAGCAGCCGATGGTAATCTGGGCGCAGATTGTTGATGCAGGACGCAATACGGCAGCCCTCAGTAGTGTCTTTGAACTTGATCTCACTTGGCAGCCACTGGTAATCGAGACTATATGCCGTGAACAAATCAAGAAATTCACGATTGGTTCTGGTTCTGCCATTATTGATTACGCTGAAAGGATCGTGCTCTTCCCACTTCACCTCGAGGACCTTGGCCCTCCCTGAATGGGAAAGATAGTCGTCGAGTCCGATCACTCTGTCTGGGAGTATTTGGCTACGACCATAAGCGAGCGCGAACAATGACGGATCAACCAAGTTGACGACCTGCCCTCCAAAGCCGGGCTCGTAGTCCTTGTCATGCTCAGTAATATTCTCCAGAGGCTCCACATCCTCCTGAAGGGCAAGCTTGATATCTTCAGTATAGCAATGTCGGACTTGACCACGTCTCCGTCCAACGCAGTGACCATTCCCTTTTTGAGGAACTTTTCAGCCTTGAACTTAACCCCCTCGATGGCCCAATCCATCATCTCTGGGCTAAGGCCGTTGTAGACGTCGAGGAACTTCTGGCGCCACTCTCTAGCGCAATTCTCGTCAAAGATCTTTTCTACGATCGGCATGTTTCTGGGAGCGGAGCTTGAGCGACGACTCTCACCCGTTTCTCCCAGTCTGGCTCATCTGTGATATTGTTCATGACGTGCACCATAGTGACTTCCCAGAGAGTCTTTTTAGAGCTGAGACATATCATTGGTCGAAGGGGTTTCTATCCTTGCTTGAGAACTCACATGCAGCGCTCATTTATGTTTGAGGGGTGCATATGCGAAATTGGTCCTTTTGATCCAAACCGTCAGAAACATCCTACTCCGTATGAAGACGAAAGGAAGTCGGCCAGAAAGACACCTCTTACCCGGTGTTCATGGAACAAGGATATAGAGAGACCTGGTAGCATAAGCGGATCCGACTGAATTTCCGACGGAGGTCCTTCCTTCTTCGAGCTCTCCATGTCGAATGCGGATTGAGACTGCTCCTTGAGTACTGATACCTTGTTGTGAGAAGGTTTGAGACGCAAAGTGTGCTGTTCCTCAATCTGGAGATTCCTTTTAACAGGGCATACCTAAATTTAAAGCATGAGATAATGATGCAGCATTGTTGAAGACAGTGGAAGATTATAGAGCAAGAACTGGCCATTCCAGAGAACAAGGTTGCGAAGCAGGAATTGCCAATGCAAGACCTCAGGCGCCTACTTTGCTATAGCAATAATCTGCTATGTAGATATTTAACTACCTACAGGGGATATCTTAGAGGGAGATGGCTGAAGTAATTACTTATGCAGTCCTCCAGCAGGGAATGATCTCCACCAGATCTCAGCAGTCAAACTCAAAGGTACCAATCAGCAGCATTCAAGCTTGTCTCCACACACAGATAACATGGTATGTTTAAGAGAGGTACATACAATCATAGCTAATTCGAGTGACTGGTAACGTCATCCCAGTTGTCAGTCTATCAGCGCCGACTACAAAAACCTCTGCATAACTACTGCACATTCCTGGGGGGAAAAAATAAAAAAAGGTTCCTGTACTTCTGCTTGTACGGTGGTTCTTTTCTCTCAAACAAGATGGTACCATTAACTGATGAACAGCTGGGAAGTCTGGAATGGTTGAGATTCTCGTCGACGTGACCTCCGACCGTCGACCACCTGAAACTTCGTCCTTCACTCTTCCTGTCTGTAACCGCTTTCTTGCCAACAGACAGCCACTTCCTTCTTCGAATTGCTTCTAAAAAAGGTTTGCGGAGAGAATCATTCTCCAGTGATCTTTTCATCTTAATCTTATCTCATACTGAGTTGCAAATCGTTCTCCAGACCCATTACAATCAGAGTCATCCATGGTTCGTCGGCCTTATCGCCGACCTCGCTCAGCCACTCGAAACCGTCCGCTAGTGTGATCCCTTGAGAGGAGACTCCCTTCAACAGTTAGTTTGATGGTGTCAGTCCATTTGGACGACTGCCCGCCGTCGAAATTCTGACTGTAGTTTTTCTGTGGCGGTAGACTCGCGCGAGCCTTGCAGCCCTGTGGACGAGAAAACAATCACATTGAGTGCGCTCGGATCTTAGCTCTAGTCGGATTGCTGGGTACTATCGCCAATTAAAGAGCTCATCGTGTTCCAAGCCGTCATTCTGGAATCGCATCCCTACGATCTAGACCAGCCTCTGTTGGCTGTGATACGAGTCTGGGCAAAGCCTCTCATAACTTCGTACTGCCCAAAGAATAAAGAGATCTGAAGTTCTGGGACACCTCCTGCTCTGCAGCCAGCCGGTTCCCACCAGGGATCCCACAGAACAGTCACGCGCGTCGCTTACTCACATACTGCACCCCGAAACTTGCGGGTGACACGAAGCTTTTGCTTTTGCGACCCTCGTTCTCGTCTATTCCGAATTGTGGAGTAGGAGATCTGATAGAGGGTGTTTAGGACGCATGCAGAGCTCGCTATAGGTACACACATAAGACTTCGCATTTGCTCGGTTTCTACATTCGCTCTCGAGATTTTCATCGACACTACTGAGACATTGCCTATCTCGGGGCTCAATCTTCCGAGACGGAGCATCGTTTTGTGAGCTGCCGAGCCTCCGACCCGTCGAAACGAAGTCCCTCAGTTGTTTGTCTCGGGAGCGTGTACGGAACGGCTGGACAGCTTATTGACAATGGCGGATAAAGCAGCCTTTCAGGTGATTGTCTTGGTAAGTCCATTGTTTCTTAGCTCAACTCTTGCCCTTGGGTTTACGTATCAGAAGACATGATTTTTGGCAAAGTTTAGGTATCCCTATGAAATAAAATTGCATTTGAAATTTCTCTTTTTTCCCTCTCCCCACCGTTTTATCCATCTTGCCCGTTTCCAAGTACCTCTACTGTATGTAAATGATCGCACGGTGAACTGTGTGAACTAGCGTCGGGTTCTAGCATGTCGGTCAAACCAGTAACTGACATCTTGTCTCATGAAGGGTCCAACGGGAGGTCCTCGTGAAGACAGCCTCACTGGGCTTCTTGTCCGATCAACGTCGACGGACTGGTCGACAGATTCGGTGATTGCGGTTGACGCAGGTACCCTTGTTTCAGGCATCATTCACACTCTGGAGCAATACAATGCGCCGTTAAGAGATGGCACGTATATAATGGATGAAGGGCCTTTTGCCGGCCTCAAAATGCCCTACAAGTCGGCTCAAGCCAATGCTGCACATATCTTCCGTGACATCATTGGAGCTGTCCTGATCACACATGCTCACTTGGATCACCTGTCTGGCCTGGCGATCAACACACCCATGCTTGAAGCAGGAAACGGACCCAAACCTTTGGCTGCTTTGCCGTCGATTGTCGCTGCCATAAAAAACCATATGTTCAACGACGTGATCTGGCCAAATCTGTCCGATGAAGATGGCGGGGCGGGTCTACTGACATATCAACGACTCGTTGAAGGAGGGAATCCAAGATTTGGGCGTGGAGAGGCTAAGGGATATGTCCGAGCCTGTGACGGTCTTCTAGCTAGATGCCTCGGCGTCAGTCATGGGCGATGCAGGCAACGCTTTCACCCGGAGTCCGGTACTCACCACCGCGTGGGCAGCTCAGTCTTTGCCGCTGATCCACTGATGCTGCCTTCCAGAGCTATATCCGTCGATCAATCTACTGACGCAGGGTAAGCCTACCACACTGGAACGCCCGAGTATCCCACTAACATTGGACTACTTGAAGGATATATTCTCCAGCTCGTTCTCCACGAATGCTCTCAGCAAACTCAAAGGAGCCCTTTTGGGCAACAGTGGAGAGCTCTGCATTCTTCATCCGTGATCACCATACTGGCAGCGAGATCATTATCTTCGGTGATGTTGAGCCCGACTGTGTATCGCTTGACCCACGCAATAAACGCGTTTGGGAGGCAGCAGCACCGAAAATCGCGACCGGCAAATTGCGCGCCATCTTCATTGAATGCTCGTATGACGATTCTGTCGAGGATGCAACTTTATACGGCCATCTCTGTCCGCGACACCTGATCGCGGAACTGACGCTGCTGGCCCGGAAGGTTATGGAAGCCCGGCACCCGAGCATGGCGATATCGAGTATCGGAAAGCGTAAACACTCAGGTTCCAACACGTATGGAGGAAGTGGGGGCCAAGTGAGTCCGAAATCAAAGCGTCCTCAGAGCTTCTCCGTTGCAGCCGGCAAGAGGGCCGAGCCATCCCTGACGGGCATGGCTTCTGCTACAGTCGACATGCGACCACGATTCTACTCAACCACAGAAGGCTTGGTTGAGATCCCTGAGCTGGTTCATGACGAGCCGACACCGAGCTACTACGAGCCTGACGAAGTAAGCGATACTGGAAAACCCGCGGATCCCGCACCACAGCCCACCAGTCCTGGAGAAGCTCAGACCGGTGACTTCGGACAGCTTCCGCTGTCGGGCTTATCTATCTATGTCATACACATTAAAGAAGACCTGACAGATGATATCCCTCCTCGAGAACGAATTTTACAACAGCTTCGATCCCGAGGCGAAGCCGCTAGACTAGGCTGCGAGTTTTACGCTCCCCATCGCGGAGAAGGCATCTGGATTTGAAACTGGGAAGTTTGTGGAAAGCAAGATTTCCCCTCGCAGTCATGGTTATGGGTGTTGACTACTACCGGTCCATTCTCTTGCACCCCAGAATTTTGTACAGGCCTGGACTTGAGCGTTTCAAACGAAGGAAGTGAAGGAGATTCTGGAACTCCGCACAGGCTACTTTCATACTTTTGTTGCAACGAGGCAGGCCCGACTCTGCGTCCACGATGTTGATTTGTTCTACCCTACTCCATGACCCCTACGCATCAAGAGCAAAAGCCATCGACAATGACTATGGCATTCTTCACGGCTGCTGGACAGCCATTTCTGTGCATACCATTACAATATAATATACTTCACATTGGCTGTGGTTGATCGTTCGCATACCGAACTATGATCTCCTTCTCGCGCATATGATTTATCCCAAGCATGTCAACTCTCAATCACGAATATGTCGTGTTCCATGGTAGGTTCGATAAGATCCCTCAAACGTGAATTATCACACAGGAATCGTGAGACTACGGTCTTATATAGGTAAGATAAGTTTCATCACGCTCAGTATATGTAATGGCGTCTGTACTCAAGAGGAGCCTTCTGCGGTAGCTTTCGCAATCACATCCTCCCATAGACAGTCGTCGCCGCCCGGAATCCTCAAGCCAGTCGACTCTCCATCCGGCCGATCAGACTCCGATGGCGGATTCCCAGGGAGATCCAGGATAGCTTCTCCGTCCCGTGCGAAAGCAATGAGATCTTCTTCCGTCCCCCATTCGCCCATAGCCATTACACCAACAGGGACATGGCCCCCTTTATCGCCACTGGTGTACCCAGCGGGACAACTGATGGCCGGGCACCCACTGAAGTTCGCCAGCCAGACATACTCCATATTCCGGACGGAGGCTTTGCCGTCGGACACGCCGCGGACAAGATCCGTCTCGCTGTCGATCCTCCAACCGGGGATGGGAGATGTCGGTGTGAGGATGAGTAGGCCGGGCTGTTGGTGGAAGAGGTGGGCGAGGTGGGACATGAGAAGGTT